TGCATCTACTATTACTCCCGCTCCACCTCCAACGACACCATCTACCACCACAACAACTCCGGCTCCACCTCCATCGACGCCACCTACCACAACCACCACTACTACCCCGGCTCCACCTCCAACGACGCCACCTACCACAACAACCACCACTACTACTCCGGCTCCACTTCCAACAACCCCATCTACCATAACAAAAACCACCACAACTCCGGCTTCACCTCCAACGACGTCACCTACCACAACAACCAACACTACTACTCCGGCTCCACTTCCAACAACCCCATCTACCATAACAAACAACCACCACAACTCCGGCTCCACCTCCAACGACGCCACCTACCACAACAACCGCCACTACTACTCCGGCTTCACCTCCAACGACGCCACCTACCATAACCACCACAACTCCGGCTCCACCTCCAACGACGCCACCTACAACAACCACCACTACTCCGGCTCCACTTCCAACGACGCCACCTACCATAACAACCACCACAAACTCCGGCTCCACCTCCAACGACGCCACCTACCACAACAACCACCACTACTACTCCGGCTCCACCTCCAACGACGCCACCTATCATAACCACCACAACTCCGGCTCCACCTCCAACGACGCCACCTACAACAACCACCACTACTACTCCGGCTCCACCTCCAACGACGCCACCTACCACAACAACCACCACTACTACTCCGGCTCCACCTCCAACGACGCCACCTATCATAACCACCACAACTCCGGCTCCACCTCCAACGACGCCACCTACAACAACCACCACTACTACTCCGGCTCCACCTCCAACGACGCCATCTACCACAACAACCACCACTACTACTCCGGCTCCACCTCCAACGACGCCACCTACCACAACAACCACCACTACTACTCTGGCTCCACCTCCAACAGCCCCATCTACCACAACAACAACCACCACAACTCCGGCTCCACCTCCAACGACGCCACCTACCACAACAACCACCACTACTACTCCGGCTCCACCTCCAACGACGCCACCTACCATAAAGATCACCACAACTCCGGCTCCACCTCCAACGACGACACCTACCACAACAACCAACACTACTGCTTCGGCTCCACCTCCAACAACCCCATCTACCACAACAACCACCACTACTACTCCGGCTCCACCTCCAACGACGCCACCTACCACAACAACCACCACTACTACTCCGGCTCCACCTCCAACGACGCCACCTACCACAACAACCACCACTACTACTCCGGCTCCACCTCCAACAACCCCATCTACCACAACAACCACCACTACTACTCCGGCTCCACCTCCAACGACGCCACCTACCACAACAACCACCACTACTACTCCGGCTCCACCTCCAACAACCCCATCTACCACAACAACCACCACTACTACTCCGGCTCCACCTCCAACAACCCCATCTACCACAACAACCACCACTACTACTCCGGCTCCACCTCCAACAACCCCATCTACCACAACAACCACCACTACTACTCCGGCTCCACCTCCAACGACGCCACCTGCCATTACTTCGGTTTCACCTACAGCTACTTTCTACCCAAAATGTGATAATTGCTCAACATATATATTCTGTTCACCAGATAAGATTTATGAGCCACTCTGCGATAGTTGTCGGACGGCTTCCGGTCCTTGTAGCATCTAAGAACTGTAGCGCTAATGAACTCTTAACTACGGACGCAGAATGTACTTCAAGTTTAACTGGTAAGTCTTTAAGTCATTTAACACTCCAGTTATAAAACAAATAACGAGGGATTGAAAAATTCAAAGTTGATTGAGTTGATTAAGTATAAAGAAACTGTTAGAGAATCAACCTAACTTAGGTTGCAAGCGATCTTTGAGGTGAATTACTGTTAATGTGTTGGTAGGAGTTACATAGTGGTCACAACTTTGGTAAATATCGAATATTAGTACACTAGTCAGTGTATATACACTGTGAGGTACACTGTGTATATACACTGTGGGGTACACAATGTATATATATTGTGAGGTGCATAGTGTATATACACTGTGAGGTGCACAGTGTATATACACTGTGAGGTACAGTGTATATATATTGTGAGGTGCACAGTGTATATACACTGTGAGGTACACAGTGTATATACACTGTGAGGTACACAGTGTATATATATTGTGAGGTGCACAGTGTATATACACTGTGAGGTGCACAGTGTATATACACTGTGAGGTACACAGTGTATATACACTGTGGGGTACACAATGTATATATATTGTGAGGTGCAGTGTATATACACTGAGGTGCACAGTGTATATACACTGAGGTACACAGTGTATATATATTGTGAGGTGCACAGTGTATATACACTGAGGTGCACAGTGTATATACACTGAGGTGCACAGTGTATATACACTGAGGTACACAGTGTATATATATTGTGAGGTGCACAGTGTATATACACTGAGGCACACACAGTGAATATACACTGAGGTACACACACAGTGTATATGCACTGAGACACACAGTGTATATACACTGAGATACACTGAGGTACACAGTGTATATACACTGAGGTACACACCACTCAGTGTATATACACTGAGGTACACACCACTCAGTGTATATACACTGAGGTACACACCACTCAGTGTATATACACTGAGGTACACACCACTCAGTGTATATACACTGAGGTACACACCACTCAGTTTATATACACTGAGGTACACACCACTCAGTGTATATACACTGAGGTACACGCCACTCAGTGTATATACACTGAGGTACACACCACTCAGTGTATATATACTGAGGTACACGCCACTCAGTGTATATACACTGAGGTACACACCACTCAGTGTATATACACTGAGGTACACACCACTCAGTGTATATACACTGAGGTACACACCACTCAGTGTATATACACTGAGGTACACACCACTCAGTGTATATACACTGAGGTACACACCACTCAGTGTAATATACACTGAGGTACACACCACTCAGTGTATATACACTGAGGTACACACCACTCAGTGTATATACACTGAGGTACACACCACTCAGTGTATATACACTGAGGTACACACCACTCAGTGTATATACACTGAGGTACACACCACTCAGTGTATATACACTGAGGTACACACCACTCAGTGTATATACACTGAGGTACACACCACTCAGTGTATATACACTGAGGTACACACCACTCAGTGTATATACACTGAGGTACACACCACTCAGTGTATATACACTGAGGTACACACCACTCAGTGTATATACACCAGTAAAGTCAAATATTTTAGTTCCATTAGGATCCATAAGTAATTTATTTAACTTATATAATTTCTTGGAAATATAAACGCATATGCAGTATAATGTGATCCTTTATTGACAACGTTTCGCCCACATAGTGGGCTGTTTCAAGTCACAAACAGATCTACCTGGGATAGACTTGAAAAAGCCCACTGTGTGGGCGAAACGTTGTCAATAAAGGATCACATTATACTGCATATCTGTTTATATTTCCATTGTGTCGGTATTTTATACCATTTATTTATATCTTTTCTTGCTGATACTGAAGGATGTAACCAGTGGTACAGTGGAACAACAACAAAGGAACACTAGAACAGAGGAAGAACAGCAGTGAAACAGTGGAACAACAGCAATCGAACACTGGAACAGGAACAACAGCAGTGAAACAGTGGAACAACAGCAATGGGACACTAGAACAGAGGAAGAACAGCAGTGAAACAGTGGAACAACAACAATGGAACACTAGAACAGAGGAAGAACAGCAGTGAAACAGTGGAACAACAGTAATGGGACACGAACAGAGGAACCATAACGATGGAAGAGAGGAACAATAGCGATGGAACACTGGAACAACAGCACTGGAACACTGAAACAGAGGAACAGCAGCAATGGAACACTGGAACAGAGGAACAACAATGATGTACACTGGAACAGTGTACTACAGTGGAAAAAAGAAGCCACTGTAGCAGTGGGTTATCCTTGCTTACTAAGCTTCCGGGTTATCCCAGATAAAGTCTTGTCTTGGGTGACTACCCGAGCCAAGAGAGGTATTCCCGGTATCCCTTAATCGCATCCCCCCCCATGTGCCGTTATCCCAAAGTGCCCGATTAAACCTGGGGATTGGCACTCAATGGCACTCAGAACTTTCCTGAGTGCGCTAGATAAGCGATGAAGGTTTGAAATAGTTCGGAAGAGGCATTCCCCTGCCCACAAAAACCTTGTGGAAAGAGGAAAAAAATCCAGCCACAATAGAGTATCCCTTTGAGGGATACCTGTGGGGGATATTCCTATGAGGGGATACCTTTGGGTATATCCCTTTAATGGATACCTCTGGGTATATCCCTATGAGGGATACCTCTGGGCATATCCCTTTGAGGCATACTTCTGGGTATATCCCTATGAGGGATACCTCTGAGCATATCTCTGAGGACGCCCAGATTTATGCATACTTCTCTAGGAATGCTTTTGTATACCTCTTTGATGCATACCCTTTATGTATACCTGAGGAATACCCTTTATGTATGCCCTCTCTGATGTATACCTGAGGGATACCCCTTTAAGTATACCTCTTTCAGGGATACCTCTCTGAGAGATACTTAATCAAATCAGTAGAATTTTTGCTGGCTTTATTATTCGCGTCTTCATGCAGTTGCGTATTATTTATTCACCCCCAAAAAATTAATAAAAAAAACGAAATTTTATTTCGTATAAATTCCAGATGTATTTGAGAATAAAATACAGTGCTGTTGTATGCTATTAAAATACACTGATTTAAAATTTTTGAAAGAATGTGGAAACGGTTTTGGTGTATATATATACAGAGGGGCGCATCTCAGAGTGTATATATATATATATATATATATATATATATAAATATATATATTATAATATATATTATATATATAATATATATATATATATATTATATATATATATAATAAAATATTATATATATATATATATATATAATACGTGCCGAATATGTAAAACTGGTCAATTAGCAAGAACTCATTTAAAATTATGTCCTTTCTAAAATTTTCTCTTAGACGTTTAAAGATATATTTTTTTTCATTAATGTTGATGTAAAAATTTATAATTTTGCACCAAAAGGAACTTAGAAAACTTACCTAACCTTATTATAACAAGAACAATTTATTTTAGCCTAACCCAACTAAATATATTTTAGATTTGTTTACAATAATTTAATACTAAACGCAGTGAAATATATTTTTTTCGTTAGGTTCAGAATGATTTTGGCGAAATTATTGCATACACAAATTTTCACTTGTCCTATATGGCAAGATGAGCGTTGCTATTTAAGCCAAGATCGCAAGTTCTGCCTATTCGGCACGACATATATATATATATACACCTAAGTGGTAGATCCCATCGCCTTTTTGATCCTCTGATGTTTCTGCAAAAGAATCATGGACGCATTAACTGCTAGTCTTCTGTCCATTAGTTTTTTGATCCTTGATCCTATAACTCGTAGATCCAATCGTCTTGATCCTCTGATGTTCTCTCAGTCGTACAGCGTTGATACGGATGAAACCCCTGGCGTCAATAGGATCGTAGTCTCCTTGTACATCCATAGAGACCAGTTCTTGGTTGTACAGGGATACTGGAGCCTCTCTTCCCAACACGTACACTGCAGGAATACACGTTTCACTCTACTGTTTAATAACATTGGAACGAAACAGTGGGGGAGGACTGCAGTAGGCCTACTGGACCCACATAAACAAAATACACAATGTGGGTTGTGGTACGTTAAAACTGGTATGAAATATCGACCAGTTGATGATTAAGACACGTTTCGCCCACACAGTAAATTTCTTCAGTCAAGATACCATTGTATCTTCTACTGCTTCTACACATTACTTCTTCAGTCAGATACAGCAAGTGTAGTAAAATGAAGATGATGTAAACAGTCCATCAATCTTCAAGAAATAGTATTTGAGGTGGTCAGTCCCTCAGCCTGGAGAAGAATTCAGCTCCATGGATCTCCAGACTGAGGGACTGACCACCTCAAATACTGTTTCTACAACTGCTGTCTGTTTGAAGAAAACTACTGTGTGGGCGAAATGTTTCATCAATAAAGAGACCCAACTGTTGTACATGTGTCTTACTTATCAACGAGTTATGGGCCAGTAGGCCTTCTGCAGTGTTCCTCCATTCTTATATTGTTACGGTTAGCTTAATATCTTCATTATGCACCCCAGACCCATCCTGTGGGCGGTAGTCAAAGTATTACAGAGGTACATAATGGGTCCAGGGACTGTACCTCAACATTACAGAGGTACATAATGGGTCCAGGGACTGTACCTCAACATTACAGAGGTACATAATGGGTCCAGGGACTGTACCTCAACATTACAGAGGTACATAATGGGTCCAGGGACTGTACCTCAACATTACAGAGGTACATAATGGGTCCAGGGACTGTACCTCAACATTACAGAGGTACATAATGGTCCGGGACTGTACTTCAACATACAGAGTACATAAGGGTCCAGGGACTGGACCTCATCATTACAGAGGTACATAATGGGCCCAGGGACTGGACTCATCATTACAGAGGTACATAATGGTCAGGGACTGTACCTCAACATTACAGAGGTACATAATGGGTCCAGGGACTGGATCTCATCATTACAGAGGTACATAATGGGTCAGGAACTGTACTCATATTACAAGGTACATAATGGGTCCAGGGACGACAACATTACAGAGGCTGCTAATGTCCAGGGACTGGACCATCATTACAGAATACATAATGTGGTCCAGGGTACTGTAATCAACATACAGGTATGACATAATGGGTCCAGGACTGGATTTCATATAGAGGTTTCATAATGGGTCCAGGACTGTACCTCAACATTACAGAGTACATAATGGTCCAGGACTGGACTTCTTATTACAGAAGTACTTATGGTCCAGTGGACTTACCTCAACATTACGAGGTACAAATGGGCAAGGGATACTCAAACATACAAGGTAATAATGGTCAAGGACTAGTACCTAAATTACAGAGGTACATAAGGGTCCAGGGACTGTACCCAAAATTACTATGGATGCTAATGGGTCAGGGACTGGACCACATCATTAATGGACTAATGGGTTCAAAACTGCTCATCATTACAGAGGTACTATGGGTCCAGGGGAATGTACTCACATAAGAGGTACCATATGTTGGTCCAGGGACTGTACTCAACATTAGAGGTACCTAATTGGGTCAGGCTGTACCTCATCTTACAGAGGTACTAAATGTCAGGGATGTACCTCAACATTACAAGCGTACATCATGGGTCCAGGGACTGTACTTCAACAGTATACAAGGTACATAAATGGGTCCAGGGACTGACCTCAATCATTACAGAGGTACATAATGGGCCCAGGGACTGGTACCTCAACATTACAGAGGTACATAATGGGTCCAGGGACTGTACCTCAACATTACAGAGGTACATAATGGGTCCAGGGACTGGATCTCATCATTACAGAGGTACATAATGGGTCCAGGGACTGTACCTCAATATTACAGAGGTACATAATGGGTCCAGGGACTGTACCTCAACATTACAGAGGTGCATAATGGGTCCAGGGACTGGACATCATTACAGAGGTACATAATGGGTCCAGGGACTGTAACTCAACATTACAGAGGTACATAATGGGTCCAGGGACTGGATTTCATTATAGAGGTACATAATGGGTCCAGGGACTGTACCTCAACATTACAGAGGTACATAATGGGTCCAGGGACTGGACTTCATTATTACAGAAGTACATAATGGGTCCAGGGACTGTACCTCAACATTACAGAGGTACATAATGGGCCCAGGGACTGTACCCCAACATTACAGAGGTACATAATGGGTCCAGGGACTGTACCTCAACATTACAGAGGTACATAATGGGTCCAGGGACTGATTCCTCAACTTACAGAGGTCATAATGGGTCCAGGGACTGGACCCAATCATTACAGAGGTACATAATGGGTCCAGGGACTGACCTCATTACATTACAGAGGTACATATATGGTCCAGGGACTGGTACCTCACATTACAGAGGTACACAATGGGTCCAGGGACTGTACCTCAACATTACAGAGGTACATAATGGGTCCAGGTACTGTACCTCAACATTACAGAGGTACATAATGGGTCCAGGGACTGGACTTCATCATTATAGAGGTACATAATGGGTCCAGGGAATGTACCTCAACATTACAGAGGTACATAATGGGTCCAGGGACTGTACCTCAACATTACAGAGGTACATAATGGGTCCAGGGACTGTACTTCAACATTACAGAGGTACATAATGGGTCCAGGGACTGTACTTCAACATTACAGATTTACATAATGGGTCTAGGGACTGTACCTCAACGTTACAGAGGTACATAATGGGTCCAGAGACTGTACCTCAACATTACAGAGGTACATAATGGGTCTAGGGACTGCACCTCAACATTACAGAGGTACATAATGGGTCCAGAGACTGTACCTCAACATTACAGAGGTACATAATGGGTCTAGGGACTGTACCTCAACGTTACAGAGGTACATAATGGGTCTAGGGACTGTACCTCAACGTTACAGAGGTACATAATGGGTCCAGAGACTGTACCTCAACATTACAGAGGTACATAATGGGTCCAGGACTGTACACTCATTTACAGAGGTACATAATGGGTCCAGGGACTGTACCTCAACATTACAGAGGTACATAATGGGTCCAGGGACTGTACTTCAACATTACAGAGGTACATAATGGGTCCAGGGACTGGACCTCATCATTACAGAGGTACATAATGGGCCCAGGGACTGGACCTCATCATTACAGAGGTACATAATGGGTCCAGGGACTGTACCTCAACATTACAGAGGTACATAATGGGTCCAGGGACTGGATCCTCATCATTACAGAGGTACATAATGGGTCCAGGGACTGTACCTCAATATTACAGAGGTACATAATGGGTCCAGGGACTGTACCTCAACATTACAGAGGTGCATAATGGGTCCAGGGACTGGACCACATCATTACAGAGGTACATAATGGGTCCAGAAACTGGACCTCATCATTACAGAGGTACATAATGGGTCCAGGGACTGTGCCTCATCATTACAGAGGTACATAATGGGTCCAGGGACTGGACCTCAACATTACAGAGGTACATATTGGGTCCAGGGACTGTACCTCAACATTACAGAGGTACATAATGGGTCCAGGGACTGTACTTCAACATTACAGAGGTACATAATGGGTCCAGGGACTGGAGCTCATCATTACAGAGGTACATAATGGGTCCAGGTGACTTTACAGAGGTACATAATGGGTCCAGGGACTGTGCCTCAATATTACAGAGGTACATAATGGGTCCAGGGACTGTACCTCAACATTACAGAGGTACATAATGGGTCCAAGGACTGGACCTCATCATTACAGAGGTTTACATAATGGGTCAGGGACTGTGACCTCAACATTACAGAGGTACATAATGGGTCCAGGACTGTACCTCAACATTACAGAGGTACATAATGGGTCAGGGACTGTACTTCAACATTACAGAGGTACATAATGGGTCCAGGGACTGACCTCATTACAGACGTACATAATGGGCCCAGGGACTGACCTCATATTACAAGGTACATAATGGGTCCAGGGACTGTACCTCAACATTACAGAGTACATAATGGGTCCAGGGACGGAGCTATCATTACGGGTCATAATGGGTCAGGGATTACAGAGGTACATAATGGGTCCAGGGACTGTGCCTCATATTACAGAGGTACTAATGGGTCCAGGGACTGTACCTCAACATTACAGAGGTACATAATGGGTCCAGGGACTGGGCCTCATCATTACAGAGGTACATAATGGGTCCAGGGACTGGACCTCAACATTACAGAGGTACATAATGGGTCCAGGGACTGTACTTCAACATTACAGAGGTACATAATGGGTCCAGGGACTGGACCATCATTACAGACGTACATAATGGGCCCAGGGACTGGACCTCATCATTACAAAGGTACATAATGGGTCCAGGGACTGTACCTCAACATTACAGAGGTACATAATGGGTCCAGGGACTGGAGCTCATCATTACAGAGGTACATAATGGGTCCAGGGACTTACAGAGGTACATAATGGGTCCAGGGACTGTGCCTCAATATTACAGAGGTACATAATGGGTCCAGGGACTGTACCTCAACATTACAGAGGTACATAATGGGTCCAGGGACTGGGCCTCATCATTACAGAGGTACATAATGGGTCCAGGGACTGGACCTCAACATTACAGAGGTACATAATGGGTCCAGGGACTGTACCTCAACATTACAGAGGTACATAATGGGTCCAGGGACTGTACTTCAACATTACAGAGGTACATAATGGGTCCAGGGACTGGACCATCATTACAGACGTACATAATGGGCCCAGGGACTGGACTCACATTACAAGGTACATAATGGGTCCAGGGACTGTACCTCAACATTACAGAGGTACATAATGGGTCCAGGGATTGGACCCATCATTACAGACGTACATAATGGGCCCAGGGACTGGACCTCATCATTACAAAGGTACATAATGGGTCCAGGGACTGTACCTCAACATTACAGAGGTACATAATGGGTCCAGGGATTGGACCTCATCATTACAGACGTACATAATGGGCAGGGATGGACCTCATCATTACAAAGGTACATAAGGTAAGGGCTGTACCTCAACATTACAGAGGTACATAATGGGCCCAGGGACTGGACCTCATCATTACAGAGGTACATAATGGGTCCAGGGACTGTACCTCAACATTACAGAGGTACATAATGGGTCCAGGGACTGTACCTCAAAGTTTTGATAACTCAAGAAGTTACAAAAGTACTGAAGTATTTACACGTTTATATCTGGTCACAATCATGAACAAGTTGGTAGGTAAGACACACAGGCAACAATTAGGCAACTTTATTCCGAAACGTTTCGCCTACACAGTAGGCTTCTTCAGTCGAATACAGAAAGTAGGCAGGAACAGTAGAGATGTGAAGACGATGTAATCAGTCCATCAGCCTTGAAGAAGCCTACTGTGTAGGCGAAACGTTTCCGAATATAGTTGCCTAACTGTTGCTTATGTGTCTTACCTACCAACCTGTCGGTATTGTATACCATTTTGATGTTCGTGAACAAGTTACAAAGGTACTTATGGGACTTGATAAGCTGATAAGTCACTAGTAAACTAAACGTTTACATTATCTTACTTACACTTCATTGTCTGATTTACACACTGTATATGCATGAATGATTTACACTGTATATGCATGAATGAATTAGACACATGTGCAACATCTGGGTATCTTTATTTGCAGACGTTTAACCATCCAGTGGCTTTATCAATACAAGAACTTAATGTGAAGTCTGTAGAATTGTATACAAAAGAAGAGCACGTGATCTTGAAGATTCTGGAGCACAGGACCGGGAGATTGGTGCTTATTTATTGGTGTCAGGTGAGGGACGTACAGCAGACCAGGTAACAATACCTTTGGTGCTTATTTATTGGTGTCAGGTGAGGGACGTACAGCAGACCAGGTAACAATACCTTTGGTGCTTATATATTGGTGTCAGGTGAGGGACGTACACAGACCAGGTAACAATACCTTTGGTGTTATTTATGGGCAGGTGAGGGACGTACAGCAGACCAGTAACAATACCTTTGTGCTTATTAGGTTCAGTGAGGGACGTACACAGACAGTACAATACTTTGGGAGTTTATTTATTTGTCAGGTGAGGGACTACAGCAGACCAGGTAACAATACTTTGGTGCTTATATATTGGTGTCCCGGTTGAGGGACGTACAGCAGACAGTAAAATACCTTTGGTGCTTATTAATTGGTGTCAGTGATGGGACGTACAGCGCAGGTAACAATACCTTTGGTGCTTATATATTGGTGTCAGGTGAGGGACGTACAGCAGACCAGGTAACAATACCTTTGGTGCTTAATATTGTGTCAGTGAGGGACGTATCAGCAGACCAGGTAACAATACCTTTGGTGCTTATATATTGGTGTCAGGTAGGGACGTACAGACAACAGGTAACAATACCTTTGGTGCTTATATATTGGTGTCAGGTGAGGGACGTACAGCAGACCAGGTAACAATACCTTTGGTGCTTATATATTGGTGTCAGGTGAGGGACGTACAGCAGACCAGGTAACAATACCTTTGGTGTTTATATATTGGTGTCAGGTGAGGGACGTACAGCAGACTAAGTAACAATACCTTCAGCTGGTACACGTCCCTCACCTGACGCCAGTATATAAGCACCAGTCTTCCTGTCTGTGCTTCACAGTCTCCAAGACTACGGTGATCTACACAACTCCATGACTGTGGGACAGATTACCTCATGTTTTGTATGTATTTCTACAGTCTTCACATTATGTCCTTGTATGTATTGATAAAGCCACTGGTTGGTGTAGCGTCTACAAATAGAGATACCCAGATATTGGGCATGTGTCTAATTCTCCAACAGGATGGGCGTGGGGTAATTCCCTATTTACTATCACCATCCCAATACTACAAGTAACCTACAACTACCACTATCAGTATTACCACCACTTTATACCACCATTAATATTACCACCATCACCACCACTACCACCATCAATATTAGCACCACTACCACCACCCCTCCCAATGCTACAAACAACGTACAACTACCATCCCCGATATTACCATCACTATCTACCACCATCACTACCTACCATTGCCTTTGTAGACCTTAAGATCAACACTTCCTGTCACAGTCAGCTGACAGTTTTCAATACAGCTCCGTGTATATCAAACTCGGGACTGTACCACAAACCTGTAAGATACATAAAAATGTTATTCACTGTTCTTCACTGTAGTTATTCACATGTTAATATTACTGAAGAACATCATTGTACTTAAGGTACTCGGTGTGTACTCGCCTAGTTGTGGTTGCAGGGTTCGATCCATGGCTCCTGTTCCCGCTTCTTTGCTGGTCGCTACTAGGTCCACTCTCTCCCTGCTCCTTGAGCTTTATCGAACCTCTTCTTAAAGCTGTGTATGGAGCCTGCCTCCACTACATCACTCTCCAGATTGTTCCACTTCCTGACAACTCTGTGATTGAAGAAATACTTCCCAACATCCATGTGACTCGTCTGAGGTTTCAACTTCCAGCTGTGACCCCTTGTTGCTGTGTCACATCTCTGAGACATTCTGTCCCTATCCACCTTGTCAATTCCTCTCAGTATTTTATATGTCGTTATCATGTCGTCCCCTTCCTTTCCTTCCTGTCCTCCACTGTCGTCAGGTTGATTTCCCTTGACCCCCTCCTCGTAGGGCATACCCCTTAACTCCGGGACTAGTCTTGTTGCAAACCTTTATATTTTCTCTAATTTCTTGACGTGTTTGACCATGTGTGGGTTCCATCCTGGTGCTGCATACTCCAATATGGGCTTGACGTACACTGTGTACAGTGAATGACTCTGTATTTAGATGTGGAAACGCTATTCTCAGGTTTGCCAGGCGCCCATATGCTGTAGCAGTTACTTGGTTGATGTGCGCTTCATATGTGCTCGGTATGATGCTCATCCCAAGATGCTTTTCCTTGAGTGAGTTTTGCGACTTTTGACCTCCTAGGCTGTACTCCGTCTGCGGTCTTCTTTGTCCTTCCCCAAACTTCATGACTTTGCATTTGCTGGGGTTAAACTTGAAGAGCCATTTGTCGGTCCAGGCTTACAGCCTATACAGATCCCCTTGTAGGCTTACCTGATCCTCGTCCACTTGTATTCTGCTTATTAGGTGTACATCGTCTCCAAACAGTGACACCTCTGAATCTGTGTGTGTACTCACCTAATTTTTGTCGCAAGGGTCGAGTCATAGATCCTGTGTGTGTACTTACAGGGATATGCTTGCAGTGGGTTAACCCCACTAAGGTACAATCATATTACTGGTTCCTGGCCTCTTGGGCACTGCCATACCTAGTCTTAAAGCTGTGTGTGTGTGTGTACTTACCATTATAGACCTGTTCCGCCATGAGATTGCTGAGGTAGGCTTTAATCTTCCTGACTTCACGATCAAGACACAGCGCCTCTAGGTCAAGGTGTGCTGCCCTCAGCAGTGTCAATCCTGGCGTCTCGTAGATCCCACGAGACTGTGGAAAGAACACTAAGTAGTAGTATAGTAGTAGTAGCAGTAGTAGTAGTAGTAGTAGTAGTAGCAGTAGTAGTAGTAGTAGTAGTAGTAATAGTAGTTGGCAGTATTAGTGGTAGAAGTTAATGAGTAAGACACATGTACAACAGTTGGGTATCATTATTCCGAAACGTTTCGCCTACACAGCAGGGTTCTTCAGTCGAGTACAGAGGAGGCAGCAGGAGCAGTAGAGATGTAAAGACAATGTAATAGGTCCATCAGCCTCAAAGATTTAGCTTTGAGGTGGTCAGTCCCTCAGTCTGGAGAAGAGTTCTGCTCCATAGTCTGGAACAATTATATTCACAAAAGAAAAAGAAAGCACAGTGAACTATTTTTAAAGTTCTTAATCCTCTTCCCCAGGATGCCACCCACAACAGTCCTCTTCCCCAGGATGCCACTCACAACAGTCCTCTTCCCCAGGATGCCACTCACAACAGTCCTCTTCCCCAGGATGCCACCCACAACAATCCTCTTCCCCAGGATGCCACTCACAACAGTCCTCTTCCCCAGGATGCCACCACAACAATCCTCTTCCCCAGGATGCCACCCACAACAATCCTCTTCCCCAGGATGCCACCCACAACAATCCTCTTCAGCAGAATGCCACCCACAACAATCCTCTTCCCCAGGATGCCACCCACAACAATCCTCTTCCCCAGGATGCCACCCACAACAATCCTCTTCCCCAGGATGCCACCCACAACAATCCTTTTCCCCAGATGCCACCTACAACAGTCCTCTTCCCCAGAATGCCACCCACAACAGTCCTCTTCCCCAGGATGCCACCCACAACAATCCTGTTCCCCAGGATGCCACCCACAACACTCCTCTTCCCCAGAATGCCACCCACAACAGTCCTCTTCCCCAGGATGCCACTCACAACAGTCCTCTTCCCCAGGATGCCACCAACAACAGTCCTCTTCCCAAGGATGCCACTCACAACAGTTCTCTTCCCCAGGATGCCACCCACAACAGTCCTCTTCCCCAGGATGCCACCCACAACAGTCCTCTTCCCCAGGATGCCACCCACAACAGTCCTCTTCCCCAGAATGCCACTCACAACAGTCCTCTTCCCCAGGATGCCACCCACAACAGTCCTCTTCCCCAGGATGCCACCCACAACAGTCCTCTTTCCCAGGATGCCACCCACAACAGTCCTCTTCCCCAGGATGCCACCCACAACAGTCCTCTTCCCCAGGATGCCACTCACAACAGTCCTTTTCCGAGGATGCCACCACAACAGTCCTCTTCCCAGGATGCCACTCACCACAGTCTCTTCCCCAGGATGCCACCCACAACAGTCCTCTTCCCCAGGATGCCACTCACAACAGTCCTCTTCCCCCGGATGCCACCCACAACAGTCCTCTTCCCCAGGATGCCACCCACAACAGTCCTTTTCCCCAGGATGACACTCACAACAGTCCTCTTCCCCAGGATGCCACCCCACAACAATCTCTTCCCCAGGATGCCACTCACAACAGTCCTTTTCCCCAGGATGCCACTCACAACAGTCCTCTTCCCCAGGATGCCACTCACAACAGTCCTCTTCCCCAGGATGCCACCCACAACAGTCCTCTTCCCCAGAATGCCACCCACAACAATCCTCTTCCCCATGATGCCACTCACAACAGTCCTCTTCCCCAGAATGCCACCCACAACAATTCTCTTCCCCAGAATGCCACCCACAACAGTCCTCTTCCCCAGAATGCCACCCACAACAGTCCTCTTCCCCAGAATGCCACCCACAACAGTCCTCTTCCCCAGAATCCCACTCACAACAGTCCTCTTCCCCAGGATGCTACCCACAACAGTCCTCTTCCCCAGAATGCCACCCACAACAGTCCTCTTTCCCAGAATGCCACCCACAACAATCCTCTTCCTCAGGATGCCACCCACAACAATCCTCTTCCCCAGGATGCCACCCAGAACAGTCCTCTTCCCCAGAATGCCACCAACAACAATCCTCTTTCCCCAGGATGCCACCCACAACAATCCTCTTCCCCAGGATGCCACCCACAACAATCCTCTTCAGCAGAATGCCACCCACAACAATCCTCTTCCCCAGGATGCCACCCACAACAATCCTCTTCCCCAGGATGCCACCCACAACAATCCTTTTCCCCAGAATGCCACCCACAACAGCCTCTTCCCAGAATGCACCACAACAGTCCTTTTCCCCCAGGATGCCACCCACAACAATCCTTTTCCCCAGGATGCCACCCACAACAGTCCTCTTCAGCAGAATGCCACCCACAACAATCCTCTTCCCCAGGATGCCACCCACAACAATCCTCTTCCCCAGGATGCCACCCACAACAATCCTCTTCCCCAGGATGCCACCCACAACAATCCTCTTCCCCAGGATGCCACCCACAACAATCCTTTTCCCCAGAATGCCACCCACAACAGTCCTCTTCCCCAGAATGCCACCACAACATCCTCTTCTCCAGGATGCCACTCACAACAGTCCTCTTCCCCGGATGCCACCCACAACAGTCCTCTTCCCCAGAATGCCACCCACAACAGTCCTCTTCCCCAGGATGCCACTCACAACAGTCCTCTTCCCCAGGATGCCACCAACAACAGTCCACTTCCCCAGGATGCCACTCGCAACAGTCCTCTTCCCCAGGATGCCACTCACAACAGTCCTCTTCCCCAGGATGCCACCCACAACAGTCCTCTTCCCCAGAATGCCACTCACAACAGTCCTCTTCCCCAGGATGCCACCCACAACAGTCCTCTTTCCCAGGATGCCACCCACAACAGTCCTCTTCCCCAGGATGCCACCCACAACTCCTCTTCCCCAGGATGCCACTCACAACAGTCCTTTTCCCCAGGATGCCACTCACAACAGTCCTCTTCCCCAGGATGCCACTCACAACAGTCCTCTTCCCCTGGATGCCACTCACAACAGTCCTCTTCCCCAGGATGCCACTCACAACAGTCCTCTTCCCCCGGATTCCACCCACAACAGTCCTCTTCCCCAGGATGCCACCCACAACAGTCCTCTTCCCCAGGATGCCACCCACAACAGTCCTCTTCCCCAGGATGCCACTCACAACAGTCCTTTTCCCCAGGATGCCACTCACAACAGTCCTCTTCCCCAGGATGCCACCCACAACAGTCCTCTTCCCCAGGATGCCACTCACAACAGTCCTCTTCCCCAGGATGCCACCCACAAAACAGTCCTCTTTCCCAAGGATGCCACCACAACAGTCCTCTTCCCCAGGATGCCACCCACAACAATCCTCTTCCCCAGAATGCCACTCACAACAGTCCTCTTCCCCAGGATGCCACCCACAGCAATTCTCTTCCCCAGGATGCCACTCACAAGTCCTCTTCCCAAGGATGCCACTCACAACAGTCCTCTTCCCCAGGATGCCACCCACAACAGTCCTCTTCCCCAGGATGCCACCCACAACAGTCCTCTTCCCAGGTTGCCACCCACAACAGTCCTCTTCCCCAGGTACCTGTTGACTTCTAACTGAACATTATAAATAGGAATAAGTAGATTTTCCCAGAAGTCTCGCCGTTTTCCTAGTCGAATATATATACTCTGAGAAGTATATATCTTAGTATATGTACACTGAGAGGTATATATCGTAGTATATATACACACTGTGAAGTACATATATCAACATAAAGACACCAAGAGGTGCCTCCTATCTCCGAATTTATACACTGTTTATTACCCTTCAACTATCGCCCATAGGAAGTCCATGGGATACACAATACAGATATCAAACATGGGATCCTCTGTTGACAACGTTTCGCCCACACAGTGGCCTTTATCAACTCACAAACAGATCTGTTTGTGAACTGATAAAGCTCACTATGTGGGCGAAATGTTGTCAATAAAGGCTCTCATTACATTGCATTTGTGTTTGTTTTTCCATCGTGTCGGTAGAGACCACACAGTACCTGAGCTGAGGAAAAATCAAGTCCCTTACTAATATCAAGGCCCCCACACTGATCCAGGAAGAAAGAATTGACGTACCTTGATACCTATGAACCGGTTTTCCACAATGTCAATGCGGCCGACACCGTGTTGCGCTCCTATCTGGTTACAAATGCGGAATATTTCTAAAGCATCTGTCACAGGTGTGTCCTGGTCTTTTACACTGACACTCGTGGGTATACCTGTCATGGCAAGAGGTATACCTGATTCAAAAGGCAAAAAGTATACGTGGGATTCACAGGGTACTTAATAATACAACACTAAAACTAAAAAGGTATAGAAGTTTGACTTACCCTGAAGGAGAGTCGAAGTATATAATAATAATAATAATAATAATAATTGCAAGTACATATATAATGTATACAGACCATAGCTCATATCAATGGCATATTACTATATAGAAAACCGTTTGTTATGCAGTGCATTTCGGGCAAATTAGGTCGATTTTGTCCCCAGGATATGACCCACACCAGTCGGCTAACACCCAGGTAACTATCTATTGCTTGGTGAACAGGGACAGTAGGTGTCTTATGGAAACACGTAATGTTTCCAGTCGTACCGGGGGATCGAACCACTGACCTCAGTGCGTGAGCCGAGTGTGCCAGTAACCGAGCTACGGGGTATATAGTGCCATCCCTGAGTCTAACATTAATAATGGATTGCTTACGGAGACTCGTATTTAGATTTCGTGACTGAACTCAATTCTATACAAACAACTCATTATGGTCTAACAAGAGACGTGAACAAACACTTGGACATATCTATTAGAAAACGTTTCGGTCCTGGGACCGTTATCACTTCTAATGACTGTAGAACTACATGCAAAGGATGAGGTAATCAGTCCCTCAGTTTTAGAGTTGGTGAAGAGTACCGTAGTCTTGAAGACTCTGGAGCTCTTTACCAACTCTAAGGCTGAGGGACTGACTACTTTATCTTTTGTGTATAATTCTACAGTCTTCATATTATCTCCTTGAATTGTACTGATAAAGGCACTGGAGGGCGAAACGTTTACAATGAAGATACCCAGATGTTGTACATGTGTCTAATTCTTTATCTTGTTCGTATTGTATTGACTACCATCCACAGGATAGGTATGGGGTGACTACCACTCACAGGATAAGCATGGGGTGACTACCACCCACAGGATAGGTATGGGTGACTACCATCCACAGGGTAGGTATGGGGTGACTACTACCTACAGGATAGGTATGGGGTGACTACCACCCACAGGGTAGGTATGGGGTGACTACTACCTACAGGATAGGTATGGGGTGACTACCACCCACAGGATAGGTATGGGTGACTACCATCCACACCTTGGGTATGGGGTGACTACCACCTACAGGATAGGTATGGGGTGACTACCACCCACACATTGGGTATGGGGTGACTGCCACCCACAGGATAGGTATGGGGTGACTACCACTCACAGGATAGGTATGGGGTGACTACCACCCACATGATAGGTATGGGTGACTACCATCCACACCTTGGGTATGGGGTGACTACCACCTACAGGATAGTTATGGGGTGACTACCACCCACAGGATAGGTATGGGGTGACTACCACCTACAGGATAGGTATGGGGTGACTACCACCCACAGGATAGGTATGGGGTGACAACCACGATAGGTGGGGTGACCCACCCACAGGATAGGTATGGGTGATACCACCCACAGGATAAGCATGGGGTGACTACCACCCACAGGATAGGTATGGGGTGACTACCACCCACAGGATAAGCATGGGGTGACTACCACCCACACCTTGGGTATGGGGTGATACCACAACTTGGGTATGGGTGTGACTACCACCCACACTTGGGTAGGGGTGATACCACCCCCCTTGGAGGGTGACTACCACCCACACCTGGGTATGGGGTGACTACCACCCACACCTTGGGTATGGGGTGACTACCACCCACACCTTGGGTATGGGGTGACTACCACCCACACCTTGGGTATGGGGTGACTACCACCCACACCTTGGGTATGGGGTGACTACCACCCACACCTTGGGTATGGATTGAAGAGTAAAACAGTAAACTAACTATACATGAATTAACAAGGTGTTGAAGACAGAACACATCGCTTCCAAGCTAAGGGATTGATTGCCTTCAACTCCTCCGTATCTTCAACTTTTCTCTTCATTGCACGAGTTAGATGTTCGAAGTCTTACCAGCTTTGAAGGTGAGTGTCAGATACTGTGGAGTGTCTGGTGCTTCCTCTGGGTCTGTGGTGAGCTGGAAGATGCCTTCTGGAGGATGAGTTGATGGGTTCTCCAAGATGCCAGACTCATAGCTGAGTATTGTAAGGATACTTGGCATGAGATGAGGTAGATATGAAGCCCAGGTTGAGCTGAGGTAGACAAGGAAATGTAGATTGAGCTAAGGCAGACATAACACGGGTTGAGACAAGGGAACGTGGATTCATCAGGGAAAGACAAGAATATCAGCATATTGGTAGATTTACCTACAAATAGAAGGTAAATGGACACAGATGTAACTTGTGTGACATTTTATTGTGGCAACGCTTCGCTCTCCAGAAACTTTGTCAAGCCCTAACTGTAACGACTTGACAAAACCTCCTGGGGGGACGAAACGTTGCCACAGTAAAAGTCACATTAGTTGCATCAGTGTCCATTTACTTAACACAATATCAACATCCGTCACATACGTACGTATTATACACAACACTATTACTTAAGCCATACGGAAAACACAGAATGTACACATAATGTCTCTCTCTCACTAGACATTCATTTCTAACACAGCCAATGCCCCCCCCCCCTCACAAAACAAAATGGCCCAAAAGGACCCTGAAGTGACCTAATGTGGACCATGTTGGCATCAATGCTCCAGGGGGCCTTGGGAGTGACCGGGACGGGTATGTCGTGAGTATGGGCATACTCAAACAGTTCCTGACGCCCAGGGAATCTCTCGTAGAAGGCTGGGTCCTTCCATGGCGCGACGATCTGACGAAGCAAGACTTAAGTTAGCATTATGGTTATTATTATTATTATTATTATTAAGCATGGGAGGACAAGAGCAAACATTATTCCCCATTTCCCCCATAATGGGGCTTTTTAACCCGAGGCCTGGTCACAGACAGGACCGCGGGGGATTTGACCCCCGAAATCCTCTCCAGGCATATTCTCCAGGTATACTGTGGGTAATAAGGCAAAAATATCCGAGGTACTATTATATTTACCTTAATACCAGGACAGAGAGCGTGGCATCCCAGTTCAAAGCGTATCTGGTCGTTCCCTTTGCCCGTAGCACCATGGGCAATATACCCTGGAGGAAATACCATCATGTGTACCAAGATTTACCATCATATATACCAAGATATATACCTCAAAACTGCTATTACAAAGTCAGGAGCTGAGGACGCAGCTCCTGGCTCCCCCTAGCTCACCTGCGCCCACCCTAACAGCTAGACGGACGATGCCCCTGACAATACAGGGCCTAGCTAGGGCAGTGCCCAGCTGGTAGCGGTCTTCGTAGATCAGGTCAGCTGACACTGCTGGCCACACGAAGTCCTGGACGAGCTCCAGCTGCTGGTCCTCCACCACCACCTGTAACCCAGGTACAACGGTAAGTGGTAAAAACCACAGCTACTAGCAGGATAAAAGCAGCCACTAGCAGAAAATAGGTACCTGGGTGTTAGTCGACTGGTGTGGGTGGCATCCTGGGGACAAAATTAACCTAATGTACCCCAAATCCTCTGCATAACAACGGGTTTTCTATATAGTAGTATGTCATTTATGTCAGATTTGGTCTGTATAAGTTATATCATGTAGTACTTGTAGGAATGAAGATTATTATTATTATTATTGACTTACCTCCTTGGCCCCCAGCTTCGTGGCTTTCAACTTGGCATCTTCGAAGTCCTCATCCTGACCCAAGTTAGCCTGAGGAAGGAGTCATATTTTTGTATAGGCAGAATTATCAACAATGTGTTTGGTAAGAGAAGAAACGAGCAACTAATGGGAGTTTTATTACGGCTGCATCTCGCTCCTGATGAGTGAAACGCAGCTGGAGAGCGAAACTCAGTTGCAATGTTTCACTACTTGTTTGTGTGTCCTTTCACCAAATATTTTTCAATGTTTATTATTCTCAAAACAATAAACCCTGTCATCACGTAGCTGCTACCACTACTACCACAAGTACTACCACAAGTACAACAACAACAACTACTACTAGTACTACTATCACAAAAAAACCATACCCCCGGCTGGGATTGAACCCGCGGTCATAGAGTCTCAAAACTCCAGCCCGTCGCGCTAGCCATTACGATTTCTTAAGTCACTACTATCACAAGTATTAATACTACCTACAACGATTATATTATGCTTTGCACCTCACTCTGTGCCTATATATACCTATCTGTGTCCATGTATTGTTTGTAACGGCTTGATAAAGCTCCTGGAGAGCGAAACGTTGCCACAATAAAATGTCACATTAGTTGCACTTGTGTCCTCTTACCTAACAGTAATAATATACTGCTTCTACTACTACTGTTAGTACTACTAGTACTACTACTATTACTACTGTTAGTACTACTACTACTAATACTATTACTACTACAATCACTAATGCAATGGTAATACTAATGTTACCAGTACTACTACTATTACTGCTACCACTACTACTATTACTGCTACTACTACTATTACTGCTACTACTACTATTACTACTACTACTAATAATAATGTAATAGTACCACTATTATTTGCAACATCATCATATACTGACCAAGTAGGCTACAACTTGAAATCCCTGCTGCCGCAGCCACACTAGGATGCACGAAGTATCTAGACCTCCAGAGTAGGCCAGAACCACGATCTTGGCTTCCTCAGTCATTCTCTGCTTCTATATAAAACACATTACAAACGAATCCAAACACAAATACTCGTGGTTAAATGGTCCAGAGAACCGACAAGTTGATAAATTAGATACATGTGCAACACTTGGGTATCTTTATTGTGGTAACGTTTTGCCACACACTGGCTTCATCAGTCCAATACGAAGAAAAAGGGTGAAGATCAGAAGTAGTTTGAGGTAATCAGTCTCTCAGCTTGGAGTCTTAACAAGATTGATGGACTGATTAAATTGACTCCAGGCTGAGGGACTGATTACGTCAAACTCTCTCATTATCTCCAGTCGGGGGGACTGATTACTTCAAAATACTTCTTTCATCTTCCACAGTTTTCTTTGCATTGGACTGTAAAGTCACTACTTTGTGCAATATTTTAACAGTAAAGCTACCCAGGGGATGTCAGGAAGCATTTCTTCAGCCTCAATGAATATATATTGAGATTATATAAATTCTGTGTGTATAATCTCTCGTATACAAGGTAGGCAGTGCTAGCGAAATAGTTAATGGCTGCTAAATAGTTAATAGCACTAAACAAAATAGTTATAGCTACTACTAGTGCTACGACACAATAATTATAGCTGCTAGTAGTGCTAGACAAAATAGTTATAGTTGCTAGTAGTGCTAGACAAAATAGTTATAGCTGCTAGTAGTGCTAGACAAAATAGTTACAGCTGCTAGTAGTGCTAGATAAAATAGTCATAGTTGCTAGTAGTGCTAGACAAAATAGTTACAGCTGCTAGTAGTGCTAGACAAAATAGTTATAGTTGCTAGTAGTGCTAGACAAAATCGTTATAGCTGCTAGTAGTGCTAGACAAAATAGTTACAGCTGCTAGTAGTGCTAGACAGTTATAGTTGCTAGTAATGCTAGATAAAAGATTTATAGCTGCCACTAGCACTAGACGCAGTATGACAATAAAACAGATAAACTAAGTACTCATCAAATCCTAGTTAAACACCTTATGTACTCACCTAATTGTAGTTACAGGGGTCGAATCTTAGCTCCTGGGTTAATTCCCAGAGTTAAATACTTACAGGAGACTTGATAAACGAGGATAATAACAGAGGGAAGGAGCAGCAGGCCTTCCAGCTAGCAGTCAGACACACTACTGACCTTCTTGTTGGCTGTCCTGAGACTTGACACACTACTACCATTACCTTGATAGTATAGTGGCGCTGCTATATTTATCAATTTACACCCCCTGTCCAGGCAGCAGCCTTGGTGGGGGTGTGGGGGAAGGTTGATTGTTAGGGGTGAGGGTGAAGGGGGAGGAGTGGAGGAGAGGTGAAGGAGGAGAGGTGAAGGGGGAGGAGTGAAGGAGGAGAGGTGAAGGGGGAGGAGTGAAGGAGGAGAGGTGAAGGGGGAGGAGTGAGCAGAACGGTGAGAATTTCACAGCTGAAGTCTTAGGCTTTTTGATCAAAATGCTCAGAGTTTTTCTTCTAAAATATTAAAACCTTTACGATAACTATTATTATTGTTGTTATTACTATTGTTATTATTATTTTTGCTGTTATTATTATTATTATTATTATTATTATTATATTATTATTATTATTATTATTATTATTGTTGTTGTTGTTAGTGGTAGTAGTAGTACTAGACAGCCTTGAGAACATCATGCATTACATTATTTTGATACTGCGTCAGTCAGTTGGTTTTTGAACAACAGGAAATAAATTGTTCGCCTTTATCCTGACGTTAGTTGTTGCGTAGACACTAATGTTCTTCTGGTCTAACTTAAAGACGTCTTCACAACCAGACGAAACCTTAGAGTAGATATATTATTATATATATATATATATATATATATATATATTATATATTATATATTATATCATATATATATATATATATATATATATATATATATATATGTAATGTAGGTTGGTAGACAGCAACCACCCAGGGAAGTACTACCGTCCTGCCAGATGACTGTGAAACAGAAACCTGTAACTGTTTTGCATGATGGTAGGATTGCTGGATTCTTTTTCTGTCTCATAAACACGCTAGATAACAGGGATATCTTGCTACTCCTACTTACACTTTGGTCACACTTCACAGACACGCACATGCATATATATATATACATACATCTAGGTTTTTCTCCTTTTTCTAAATAGCTCTTGTTCTTCTTTATTTCTTCTATTGTCCATGGGGATGTGGAAAAGACTCTTTCCTCCGTAAGCCATGCGTGTCGTATGAGGCGACTAAAATGCCGGGAGCAATGGGCTAGTAACCTCTTCTCCTGTAGACATTTACTAAAAAAGAGAAGAAGAAAAACTTTATAAAACTGGGATGCTTGAATGTGCATGGATGTAGTGCGGATGACAAGAAACAGATGATTGCTGATGTTATGAATGAAAAGAAGTTGGATGTCCTGGCCCTAAGCGAAACAAAGCTGAAGGGGGTAGGGGAGTTTCAGTGGGGGGAAATAAATGGGATTAAATCTGGAGTATCTGAGAGAGTTAGAGCAAAGGAAGGGGTAGCAGTAATGTTGAATGATCAGTTATGGAAGGAGAAAAGAGAATATGAATGTGTAAATTCAAGAATTATGTGGATTAAAGTAAAGGTTGGATGCGAGAAGTGGGTCATAATAAGCGTGTATGCACCTGGAGAAGAGAGGAATGCAGAGGAAGAGAGAGAGATTTTGGGAGATGTTAAGTGAATGTATAGGAGCCTTTGAACCAAGTGAGAGAGTAATTGTGGTAGGGGACCTGAATGCTAAAGTAGGAGAAACTTTTAGAGAGGGTGTGGTAGGTAAGTTTGGGGTGCCAGGTGTAAATGATAATGGGAGCCCTTTGATTGAACTTTGTATAGAAAGGGGTTTAGTTATAGGTAATACATATTTTAAGAAAAAGATGATAAATAAGTATACAAGATATGATGTAGGGCGAAAGACAGTAGTTTGTTGGATTATGTATTGGTAGATAAAAGATGTTGAGTAGACTTCAGGATGTACATGTTTATTGAGGGGCCACAGATATATCAGATCACTTTCTAGTTGTAGCTACACTGAGAGTAAAAGGTAGATGGGATACAAGGAGAATAGAAGTATCAGGGAAGAGAGAGGTGAAGGTTTACAAACTAAAAGAGGAGGCAGTTAGGGTAAGATAAAATAGCTATTGGAGGATAGATGGGCTAATGAGAGCATAGGCAATGGGGTCGAAGAGGTATGGGGTAGGTTTAAAAATGTCGAGTTAGAGTGTTCAACAGAAGTTTGTGGTTACAGGAAAGTGGGTGCGGGAGGGAAAGAGGAGCGATTGGTGGAATGATAATGTAAAGAGAGTAGTAAGGGAGAAAAAGTTAGCATATGAGAAGTTTTTACAAAGTAGAAGTGATGCAAGGAGGGAAGAGTATATGGAGAAAAAGAGAGAGGTTAAGGATGGTGAAGCAATGTTAAAAAGAGAGCAAATGAGAGAGTGGGTGAGATGTTATCAATAAATTTTGTTGAAAATAAGAAAAAGTTTTGGAGTGAGATTAACAAGTTAAGAAAGCCTAGAGAACAAATGGATTTGTCAGTTAAAAATAGGAGAGGCGAGTTATTAAATGGAGAGTTAGAGGTATTGGGAAAATGGAGGGAATATTTTGAGGAATTGTTAAATGTTGATGAAGATAGGGAAGCTGTGATTTCGTGTATAGGACAAGGAGGAATAACATCTTGTAGGAGTGAGGAAGAGCCAGTTGTGAGTGTGGGGGAAGTTCGTGAGGCAGTAGGTAAAATGAAAGGGGGTAATGCAGCCGGGATTGATGGGATAAAGATAGAAATGTTAAAAGCAGGTGGGGATATAGTTTTGGAGTGGTTGGTGCAATTATTTAATAAATGTATGGAAGAGGGTAAGGTACCTAGGGATTGGCAGAGAGCATGCATAGTTCCTTTGTATAAAGGCAAAGGGGATAAAAGAGAGTGCAAAAATTATAGGGGATAAGTCTGCTGAGTATACCTGGTAAAGTGTATGGTAGAGTTATTATTGAAAGAATTAAGAGTAAGACGGAGAATAGGATAGCAGATGAACAAGGAGGCTTTAGGAAAGGTAGGGGTGTGTGGACCAGGTGTTTACAGTGAAACATATAGATAAGGCTAAAGAGGTCTTTGTGGCATTTATGGATTTGGAAAAGGCGTATGACAGGGTGGATAGGGGGGCAATGTGGCAGATGTTGCAAGTGTATGGTGTAGGAGGTAGGTTACTGAAAGCAGTGAAGAGTTTTTACGAGGATAGTGAGGCTCAAGTTAGAGTATGTAGGAAAGAGGGAAATTTTTTCCCAGTAAAAGTAGGCCTTAGACAAGGATGTTGTGTCACCGTGGTTGTTTAATATATTTATAGATGGGGTTGTAAGAGAAGTAAATGCGAGGGTCTTGGCAAGAGGCGTGGAGTTAAAAGATAAAGAATCACACACAAAGTGGGAGTTGTCACAGCTGGTCTTTGCTGATGACACTGTGCTCTTGGGAGATTCTGAAGAGAAGTTGCAGAGATTGGTGGATGAATTTGGTAGGGTGTGCAAAAGAAGAAAATTAAAGGTGAATACAGGAAAGAGTAAGGTTATGAGGATAACAAAAAGATTAGGTGATGAAAGATTGAATATCAGATTGGAGGGAGAGAGTATGGAGGAGGTGAATGTATTCAGTTATTTGGGAGTGGACGTGTCAGCGGATGGGTCTATGAAAGATGAGGTGAATCATAGAACTGATGAGGGGAAAAGAGTGAGTGGTGCACTTAGGAGTCTGTGGAGACAAAGAACTTTGTCCTTGGAGGCAAAGAGGGGAATGTATGAGAGTATAGTTTTACCAACGCTCTTATATGGGTGTGAAGCATGGGTGATGAATGTTGCAGCGAGGAGAAGGCTGGAGGCAGTGGAGATGTCGTGTCTGAGGGCAATGTGTGGTGTGAATATAATGCAGAGAATTCGTAGTTTGGAAGTTAGGAGGAGGTGCGGTATTACCAAAACTGTTGTCCAGAGGGCTGAGGAAGGGTTGTTGAGGTGGTTCGGACATGTAGCGAGAATGGAGCGAAACAGAGTGACTTCAAGAGTGTATCAGTCCGTAGTGGAAGGAAGGTGGGGTAGGGGTCGGCCTAGGAAAGGTTGGAGAGAGGGGGTAAAGGAGGTTTTGTGTGCGAGGGGCTTGGACTTCCGGCAGGCATGCGTGAGCGTGTTTGATAGGAGTGAATGGAGACAAATGGTTTTTAATACTTGACGTGCTGTTGGAGTGTGAGCAAAGTAACATTTATGAAGGGGTTCAGGGAAACCGGCAGGCCAGACTTGAGTCCTGGAGATGGGAAGTACAGTGCCTGCACTCTGAAGGAGGGGTGTCAATGTTGCAGTTTAAAAACTGTAGTGTAAAGCACCCTTCTGGCAAGACAGTGATGGAGTGAATGATGGTGAAAGTTTTTCTTTTTCGGGCCACCCTGCCTTGGTGGGAATCGGCCAGTGTGATAAAAAATAAAATAATATATATGTGTGTGCGTGTGTGTGTGTGTGTGTGTGTGTGTGTGTGTGTGTGTGTGTGTGTGTGTGTGTGTGTGTGTGTGTGTGTGTGTGTGTGTGTGTGTGTGTGTGTGTGTGTGTGTGTGTGTGTGTAAATGTACAAACATTATCTCTCAGTCTACAGCAGGATTCGAACCTGCAAGCTTGGCATCAGTGTACACAGTACTTTATCTACACAACCAGACTCCCAGTTTGCAGGTTCGAATCCTGCTGTGGAGTGAGAGATAATGTATTAAATACACCTGTACACATGCTCGTTAATGTAAATATCTCATCAGCCAATCACGTGGCAGCATCTCAGTGCCTAGAGCATGCAGACATGTTCAGTATGTTCACTTGTTGTTCAGACTGAACATTAGGGAAGAAATGTTCACAAGTGACTTTGTGGAATGATTCTTGGTCCCAGACAGTCGGGGAAACTTTACCTTTGATGACTTCCCCATAGTCTTTCTACTGCCAGAGCCCGGGCATGGGTCAGGTTCGTCTGGTGCTTGCCTGGTTTGAGTACCTCAAAAACTGTTCATCTCCTGGGATGGTCACTCACAGCAGTCACAGGAGCTTACATAGAATGGTATGAAAAACACAAAGCATCCAGTTCTGTGGATGAAAACTTCTTGTTAATGAGGTCAGAGAATAATAGCCAGACTGGTTCAAGCTGATAGGAAGGCGACAGTAACTCAAATAACCATGTGTTACAGCAATGATATGCAGAAGAGAATCTCTGAACGCACAACACGTCG